TGAAGTTGACAGATAAACAGCAGACCAGTTTGCAAACAATGTGTGAGGGGGGAAAGCATCTGGCCGAGGAAACCCAGAGTCATAACATACGTTCTTAAGGCTTTGCAGCTTTCTCCACACAGTAAGACTTCGATCATCGTCGGGTGTCAAGTAGTTTTCAAGAGCAACATGTAAACTCTCACAATAACTTTTCATCTCTCCCCTAAAAACCGCAAGCGGAGGAAGCTTATCATCCATCACATCCACATCTACATCACGGAACGCATTCATAATCAGTGATCTTCCAGAGAGAACTTCATCCCTACCTTTGTTGAGAAGACAGACCATGCAGCCTAGAACAGAAACTATTTTATCTTCCAACAATGGTTTATCTTCTGATGGGACATCATATGAGACACTGCATTCTCCAGTCACTGGATTACACAATGTGTTCATTAATGTATTGTGAAGCTGCTCAGCAGCCCTGAAAACTCGACAATAAGCCTCTACTTCTGCAATGTCCCCGGGCAGTGGACCAATCCATGGAGATTGTGATTGGGAAATCTTTGCATAATCAAGCAAAACAAACAGCCATTATTGACTTCATACATACGTAGTATATATATACTACTCTAGATGCTAATGAGCCAGATATGAATTTAAAAAATTTCAACTTTTCGTCAACAATCATAACAGATATATTTATTGAAAGCCAAAGTGTGCAGAAATAATCGACTATTCTGAACCAAACTGCAATCCCTGTGAAATGTTTGTGTGAGTAACTTACCGCATATCAATTGGGCACAAAACATAATACAATAATATACGTAATTCATGTTAAATACTGCTAGAGTGAAGGTCAGTCTCAGTAACCAAACTAACCTGAAAATCTAAGCCGGTGTTGAGGGAGAACGCGTTGGAAAGCTTAGCGGTGACAACGAGCTTAAGATGTTGCCGTCTAGCCCATCTTTGCTTCCTCCTACAAGAAGCTGATCCGTAGAAGAATCCGAGCCCGGACCCGGGAAACACAGCAGCAAAGCAATTGCGATGATGGTCAAGAATACGAGTCGCTCCGGCAGCAGTGATGGATCGGCCCAATTCCAAGTGGCATGGATAGCATCCAACACATGCGGCCATGACACCTTGTTAACGAAACTGTGATCAAAGTTTTGGCACCTTATTCCTCATTTTTCACATCAAAAGTACTCCCTATCAGTCTGGTTCAACGGTGCCACGCCATTCTTAGGACTTATCTACTTAACTGAAAATAGATGAAGTAAAAATGTAAGGCGTCTTTGGAGCCTTATCTTAACTGAAAGAGGTGCTTCAACCTCTTTTTAAAAACTCCAAACAGAATTACTGCTTCTAAAATATTGTTTCTACCAGTAATTTGGAGTATTCAGGAGCTATGGTGCAAAGATACTTCGCCCCGATCCGTATCCGCGTATCCTATACGTATCCGCGATACTGATACTCACAGATACGCGTCCTGTACATATTGAGTCCGTATTCGTAATTTAATAAAAGTATCGGGCTTATTTTCAAAAATATCAATACTTCCGATACCCGTATCCGTGAACCGATACGCGTATCTGCCCCTATAACCCTCATTTCATAAACGACATGACGAAAATTTAGTAGCCACCCAAGCAACCACAAGATACGGAACATTGATAAAGATGATTTCGGAAGTATGAAAAATAATGGAATACTATAGTTTGTCATTTTATCGCTTGATGAACTTTAATTGAAACAAAATTTAGATGTAAATGCAAATAGAGAACAAAGCATATTGTTTCAATTTAATTCGAAATATCAGTACTTTAGATTTTTTAGCCTAATCTTTGAAATTTTATTATATTAGTTAATTTTTTGTACTATGGTTATTTTATTTATGAATCCCTAAATTATATATATTTGCAAATTAAACCCTATATTTTTATTATTTATAAATTTACCCCCGTACCCGTATCCTATAATTTTTGAAATCGCTGTATCGTCGTACCCGTATTTGCGTATCCACGTATTGGCGTATCCGTATCCGTGCAACATTGTTCAGGAGTATTTCTTCACGAGTAAAGGGTCATGTTGGTCCTCGAAGTTGCATAAAAAAGGTCAAATAAGTTTTTATAGAGGATGCTTTGTCCGGCCGTCGCCATTTGGGACTGTTCACGGTGGAATTTTTTTATGAAATTTTTTTAGCATCTTATTCTTTAAGTCTAGTTTACTCATACCAAATTTCAGCTAAAACTTCAATCGGGAAGGCATTCAAATGAATTCTTGAAGATAACTGCGCAATTAAAAGCGCAATTATCTTCAAGAATTCATTTGAATGTCTTCACCGGAGCGGTGGCCGGGCGCTCCGATTTTCGTCTGGGCGCTCCGACTAATTGTCTTGCCGTCTAGGTGAATTAGTCAGCCGCCTTTGGCGCCTAGTTGCCCGCCCAGAGCGCCTAATTGGTCGCCTAGGCCGTCATATTCTCCGAACATTACTTTACTTTTTAATTTTTATTTCTAAGCGATATAAGTACTTTAACTTTAGCCACGAATATAAAGAAATGAAGTTGTAAATTAAGATAAAAACTATATATGTTTGTATATATACCTAAATTTTATTATTATTTATATTTATAACACAATGAAGTGAAGCGATTAGTTATCATATACTATGTATGATTAAATGTGATTTTTTTTTTAATTCATTTTTGTTAATGTATGTGTATATATGTATTTATACACACAAAAATACAATTTTACTTGACATATTTATGCAAAATATAGATAAAAGTGTAATTTCTATGTCTTCGAGTAGTTCCCGTCTAGGCGCCCGCCTAGCCGCCCAGGTGCTAGACGCTATACTGGCGCCTGACTAGCGCCTAGCGCCTTGCATAATACGTACTAATATGAATAAAGAGGATTGGTCAAATGAGACGGAAAACTAAGTTCTAATTTGCTCATATATGAAGTGCATTTGAAGAACGGGGAGTTGTAGTCTTCTATTAATACGCTTATCCTCTCGGGTGAAATATTAGTTAAATTATTAAGTGAGTATATCGTTCTAAGGATACACATATCGAAAGCTTCTAAAATACTTCAATAAATCAAATACTTTCGTTAAGTTATGGATACAGACTTAATACATGCCGTATATGTGTGTTTCGTAGGAGGTAAAATATTACTTTGCATTCGAAGTGTAGAGATATAAAAAGTTTACACTGTTTGACTTGATTATTTAATGTTAACTGTATGACATTTTTAAAAAAACATTCAACGTTTTACCTTGTAAAGTATTTTATTTTATGTTAGGGAGAGTGATAAAATACTTTGAATTTTCTTTTTTAAAGTATTGCAACGAATTTACGTGCAACTTAAAAAATAAATTAATCCAAACAATGTGTTACATCCGTATTTTTAAGTTTGCTACACTTTCCTATTTGGAACGTACTCCGTATTTAAAAGGTTTGACACACCTTCCTTTTTTTGATAAGTTTTTCGTTTAAAAATACTCAATTATTCTTACTTTTTCACCTTTTTATTTTCTCTTTTCTACTACCTTATTCGCTACTCTTATTATTTACCCATTAAATATTGTACCAAAAGCAGTGTTCTAAAACGCCTGAAAAGGCACCGCCTATGCGGAAATAGGCGCAAGGCGTGGTCAATACGCCCCGCGTAGTCAATATGCTTGACTAAAGGCGGGCTTGCCCAAAAAATATATATTTTTTCACTAATTTGGAAGCCCACTCACAGAGATTCAATACGGAGCAGAATTCACTTGCCTACCTATTTCTGATTGTAGGGGTTGTCTCCAATATATAGCGTGCTTGAAGGACGAATTCTTCCTCTCCTTACGGTGTGGGACGCGTATATGCAAAACGAAAATGAGCAAAGTGTAACTAATAAACCTCCTACGAGAAAAAACTCTACACACAAATAACACAAAGTCGAACGCATTTTTCAACTAAATTACACCCAATACTTTTAGGAGTAAAAATTACATAAAAAAGTGCTTAGTCTATTATATACATAGGCTAAATGTCCAACAATCTGCTTACATTATATATTTAATTAATAATTTATTATTATTATTGTATAAATGCATAATCATAAGTACCACCAGGGTATTATTATAGGAACATAAATTAATATATATTCACTAATGCTATTATTATTATTAAAATCATTGCTTTTAATCATTATTATTAGTACTTTCTAAAAAACGAATACTATTATTTTTTAGGGAAAATGGAAATCAATAATCCAACCTTTTAGCATTCTTCTTACAATAGGCTCACATTTTCATTATTCAGGAATAATCCAACTTTTAAGCCTCATCTTCATCCCTGATCGGTTGATGATCTGTTATTCCAAGTTGTTTTCTTATTTTTGTAAAATTTTATACCATAAATCCTACCTTATGGTCACATGACGTTTTGCAAAGATAAGAAAATTATTTGGAATAACAGGTCATCAACCGGTCAGGGACCATTAAATGAAGATAAGGTGCAAATGTTGGATTATTCCTGAATAATGAAAATGTGGAACTATTGTAAGAAGACCACTAAAAGGTTGAATTATTAGTTTCCATTTTCCCTATTTTTTTATTATCATTGAACGGGTTTTTCTAGTTTCAATATTTATAAATATATTTGCAAAATATAGGACTTGACAAATCTTTTTTGTTAGAAATTTGAATAGAATGTTGCCTTTAAATAACATTATTTAATATTCAATTTAAATATTTATAAATAGCTCTAGGGAAAGTAAAACAACGGATAAAAACTCAAAACGCCTTTTCACGACTCAACCCCGCATATGCCCGCCTATGCTTCAAAGGCTTGAGGCTTGGCCGTGCCGCCTCGGCACGCCTTACGCCTTTTACAACATTGACCAAAAGTTAATGTGATGATATTTTAACAATTAGATAAGTAAAACAAAGAAAAAGAAAAAACACTTGCTGGTTAGAACTTAGAAGTGAAGAACCCCTAATCCAGAAGAGCAATCCAATGAAGGAACGCCAGCTGGCTTATCCCAAATCAAGATCCCTTCTCTCAATCCTGTCCTCAGGATTCAGACTTCATTTTATCCTCTCTGTGTTGCAAATTCCACTCCATACTCAAAACAGAAGCTTCAAAATATCAATTCCTATGGCGGCAGCATCCACTGCTTTGCTATCTACGCCGATCTTCCGAAGCGGCGAGAGGATCAAGTCCATCGCTGATATCTCCTCATCCAGATCTATCATCAACTTCAACTCCAGGAGAGAGAAGAGGCGGCTGCGCAGCAACGTCAAGGCGGAGCTGAATCCGCAGGTGGTGATCAGCCTGAGCACAGGACTGTCGCTGTTCATGGGGAGGTTCGTGTTCTTCGACTTTCAGAGGGAGAACGTGGCGAAGCAGGGGCTGCCGGAGCAGAACGGGGTGTCGCACTTCGAGGCAGGAGATACGCGGGCGAAGGAGTATCTGAGTCTGCTGAAATCGAACGATCCGGTGGGGTTCAACATCGTGGATGTTCTCTCCTGGGGATCCATTGGCCATATTATTGCTTATTCCATCCTTGCAACTTCTTCCAACGGTTACGATCCACACTTCTTCGGCTAATCATCTTGTAATTCCTCCTTTCACTGATGTTGATAATCATCTTATTAAGAATTGTAATGATATTTTATAATTAGTTATGTTTCATTCTCGCTTATAATATGGCATTTACATTCAATAAAAAATTAATTAGTTAATTAATTGATGCATCCTCAACCTTTACCAGGTACTTTGTACTTCAAAATTTAAAAATGATGATAAATTTACGACTAAAATCTTTTAACTCTTCATTTCATTGATGTTCATAAGGAATAATGTCAAAAATATTAGTAATGACTTTTACAAGGACAAAAACACGACTAAATCTGTATTTGACAAAAATGTGACCCCATCTACGTTGAACATACTCACTCCACATTCCCGATAGTGTCCTTCGCTCCCACGAGCAGATAGACCATCTTCATGAGACTTCATCACACCTCCACCTCCTCAAACACACCTGCCTGGCTGCCTCCCCTTTCTTCTCCTCCGTAATCAACCAGCGGCCAGTCCTCTTTACGTTTCTTCTTTTCGAATCTGTTTAGAGGGGCTATTTCCATCTCCTGGAGAAGCTAATTTGCCGGTGGACGAGCTAATTGATTGGAGAAGGCAAAATACTTCATGGGTGAGGTTGGCGATGCTCTCACAGCGGACCACCGGTGGAGAGGAGCTCCGACCAGCGGCGAGAAGCTCGGAGCACCGTGGACATCCATCGATCACCTCCGACGTATCTTCTTCTCCTTTCTTCTGCTCGGAATCCGCAGATCTGAGGCCTTGACTGTGCAAATCGGACTTCCTTCTGTCTGGAATCCGCAAATCTGATGGCGTCATTAGCTTGTAAATGTGTTAGGCTACAGATTGTAGGAGGTAGGGGCAGAAAGTAATGCTTCCTGGAGGGCAGGGCAACACAGGTGGGGTTGGGGAGGTCTGTGCGAGTGGTGGAGGGGGTGAATAGGCCTAATCGCTGATTGTGCGAGGGTTGGTCAGGATTGGGGGGCTACTGGGGGATGGGGTGACACAGGCGAGGGGGTTGGGGGTTGGTGGTCGGAGGTGGTGTCCGGGGGCAAACAGGTGGGTTGGGGAGGTTGTGCTTAGGGATATGAGTCAAGGAGTGGTTGCGATGCTGGATCTGTGGGTGGTGATGGGGTAGGGGTGACACTGCTGTGGTGTCGGGTGGCGGCAACCGCCGTGATGGCTTACAGTGGCGGAGGTGGTAGGTCGTGGTGGTTGGTGTCACTGCAAAGGTGTCACTTTAAATGTGTCACTGTGGCGGCGGCGTTCATTGACCGACGTCGACCGTGACATGTTTCACGACGTCGGATGTCACTGTGGATGGAACCATTGTGTCACTGTGGCGACGTCACTGTGGGCGGAATCATTGTGTCACTGTTGGCGGCGTCACTGTGGGCGGAACCATTGTGTCACTGTGGCGGCGTCACTACGGTCAGCGTCACTATGATCGAAGTACGGTGTAACTATGGTAATGTCACTTAGAGATTAGTCACATAAAAAACGATCTCTTGATCTTTCGTTTTGATCCGAATTGAATCGGAAATTCTGGTTGTCGGCTTGTCATTGCTTCTAAATTCTAATAACATATCTTCATGCGAAATATGTAGGATGACACGTATTTTTAATGTAATCCTCAAATAGTGCAAGAAGCCGTATGTCTGTATTATTATTTAAGTTTCCAATATGTTAGCCGCTATTCACTTTTCTGTCTTTTTATAAATGTACTCACTTTTATGGAATTGGTCCTGAAATTAGTAATATTGGTGTCCTTTCCCGTATTCGTAATCATCATACTAAGAATGTAATGATAATTTTATAATTAATAATTATGTTTCATTCTCGCTTATTATATGCATTCACGTTCAATAAAAAATTAATTACGGAGTAGTTAATTAATTGAATCATACTAAGAATGTAATGATAATTTTATAATTAATAATTATGTTTCATTATCGCTTATTATATGCATTTACGTTCAATAAAAAATTAATCACGGAGAGTAGTTGATTAATTGATGCATCCTTTAACCTACCAGGTACTTTGTACTTCAAAATTTAAAAATAATGATAAATCTACGACTAGAATAAAATACTAGATGCATAATGGAGTATAGTGTGCGTGGTGATTCAATTGTACCGAGTGGGGGGGGGGGGCAAACGGGTATGAAACCGCGGACCGGTTCGGCTCCAAAACGTTCCGATTCCATTTTTTTATACTACAAAACTGTTCGGATAGGGGTGAGTATTAATTTTTTACGGTCCGGGCCGGTTCCAAAATATAAAAGTGCCGGGTACCCGGCGGCCGGCCCGCCTCGTTATATATGTAATTTCTTTTTTTAAGCGTTTGGGAAGTGACAATTAGCCCATTGCGGTAATGCAACTTAGCCCTTTACTGAGTTGCCTGTTATATACTATCGTATGTAATTTCTATTTTTTAAGCATTTGATATTTTCGTCATGGAATGCTATTTTCCCTACTATACGGAATCACAAACTAACATTAACTTACAACTATTCTTATTACACGTAGGTTTTATTTTATTAACCGTAAAATATGACTTTGTTATTGGTAAGAAAATATATTATTTATGTGAGAGTAAATCAACACAATCATTTGGCCAGTTTTAACTTTTAAATAGTTAAGAATATAGATACTAACAATTACAGATTACAAAATGGGTAGCATTTAGCATTTAGCAGATTCAGAATGGCTAAGACCCTAACAACTTTGTAAGGTCTTATTGCTTTTAAAAAATGCAAACTGGACGTCTGGAACTGAAAAACCCATACCGGACCGACTTGTTTCAAACGGCCCGGGTAAGGTCCAGTTCCTATTATCAAAATTACAATACCTGGACCAGGCAGACCCGTACAATGGAATCGACAGTTACATTTTATTTTGCATTACCCACCCCGACCCGGCTCGCGCCCAGCCCTAGTACCAAGTGTTATATTCTTGTAACAGAATTCTTTACTGTAACACCAGTGACCGGGTAATAATATTTTTAATTATGGATTTAAAAATATCTTAGGAAAACTCCCAAATTTATTAATTTATATTCCGTACAGTAGTATAGTACTCCGTATGAGTCACTCTAATTTTACCATTCCCTAACACCAAAGGCCCTCGGTAAAAAAAACACCAAAGGCCCGTTTGGTGACCTTATTTTGTGACTTAGCTATTGTTTGCAATTGCTTCAACTTTAAAGAAGTGATTTTTTAAAGTGATTTTGGTAAAAGTGATTAATAGTAAAAGTTGGTAGTGTTTGAGGAAAAAGTGATTCTGAAAAAGTAAAAGTTGGTAGTGTTTGGTAAAAGAAGTACTTTTTGTGTAATAAAAAAAGTGAAAAGCAGTTTAAAGCACTCTTCCACCTGCTTCCAACTTTTAGCTTTTAAGTTATTAATTTAAGCAGAAGCTGTCATTTGAAAACACTCTTTTTAACTTTTTTTAAGTCAAAAGCTGAAAAGCACTTTTTTTAATCAAACGCAAACACTCTCTTAGTAAGCTTATCAGTCAACTTTTTAATCAAACACGTAACTTTTAAAAGCAGAAAAACATTTATCAATATAACAAATAATTACTTGTTGATGATATTGTATCATTTTGGCCAAATATATAATAACAGCTCAATATATACGGAGTAATAAAATTGAATTAGTCCTCCCGACAGATAAAACTTTTAACAAAAAATTAAATTTGTACTACCTTAATTCATAATGTAACATGTATATGGATTTGGTGTGGATTTTAAAAATCAAAAGTAGAGTGATTGTTTTGCCACTCTAACATCCAAAAAGTAAGAAAGACAAAATGAATTCACAAAAATAAAAGGGTCAAGTGATAGATAAAGGGATAAAGTAGAAAAGCAGAAAGTTAGTGAGGTCTAATTTAAGAATGGAAATTATCCTAAATAGGACTAATGGGTTCCTAAAAAGCATAAATAGGACTACTATTTTTTAACTTCTCTAAATATAACTAAACATTAATTTTCTACCTTAAATACCCCTAAGGGTATTACTTCGTAATGAAATACTTTTATTCATAATAAAATCATAAAAAATATTTAAATATCGTAAAAAAGGTATAAAAAATTGATAAAATATTTATAAAATAAAAAGTTTTAAAAAATAATATTTTGAAAACAAAATAATAAAAAAAATAGTAAAAACCCATAAAAAAATAAAAAAAAATTATGGATACCTTTCCAACCGCCTCCTGCCGCCTCCTAGCACCACCACCCCCGATTGGTGAAATTTATTCCACTTTTGATAAAAATATGTCATCTTTTTTTGAAAATGCCAAAAAGATGGCATAATTACTGTTTAATATGCCAACATTTTCATTGAATATGCCATCATTATGTCATTATTTAAAATGTTGGAAGATTTTTCTCCAGTGATGGGAGCTGGTGGTGCTGGGGGTGGCGGGGTTGACAATGTTTTATTTTTTAATTTTACGTTTTTTTTATTTTTATTATTATTTTTTTGATTTTTTGATTTTCTTTTTAAAAAAAATATTTTTTTATTTATAAATATTTTATTAATATTGTATTATTTTTTTACGATTTTTAATTTTTTTACGATTTTTATTATTTTTTATGATTTTATTATTAAGTAAATTATTTCACAAGCTAAAAGGGTATATTTGTATAAACACACAAAAATAGTCCTATTAAGGGAATTTAAAAAATGTAGTCCTATTTGTGCAATTTTGCCACTTTTTAGTCCTATTTAAGGAATTGACTCATTTAAGAAAGTGTTCATATTTTTTTAGTAATCCAAAAGAAGAAAGTGTATCTTACAAAACGAAATGAGTAATGAGAAGAAATGACATGTATACTACTAATAAAGTTTCATCGGACAAAAATATGACTAGTTATGTTTTTAGACAAAAATACAACTAGTTATAAGTTATAACTATGTATGAGTAATTGAACAAAAGTCACTATAGTGTATTTCAGAGTGACAAGTCACTGATATATAATGAGTCATTGAGAACTAGTCACTGAATATGTCACTTTTTTGGATTTTTTTAAACAAATCATATTTTTGTCTTTTGAATTTAATTTAGTAATATTAATGGAAAAGGCTTATAGTGTTAAATCCAGTTTTTTCATAGCCATTATATGAGCCTCTATAAGAAAATGAAATAAAAATTGATTTAAATATTACAGTTCCAATAGTGACTATTTTATTGTATAGCTAATTAGCTATTATACCCAAACCGGCCCGTTGATTGGAACGTGTCCAAAATCAACCTAGCTGGGTACCAATTTCAGATTAAGCCAACCCTCACCTTTAGAACATCTCCAATGGGAGGGTGCATTGCATCTGATGTGGCATAGGAGAGAGATAGAGATAGAATAAATATTGGGATGAAGTGGTGTGTAGAAAAAATGAAAAAGAGGAGAGAGATAGAGGTAAAAATGGATCAAGGTCTATGACAAGGTCCATATATGGACCTTACACGGGATTCGAGGAGGAAAAGTTGATGAAAAGTGGGTTAAAAGTGATATAAAAAAATGAAAATGAAAATAAATTGGGAAATATGTGAGTCCTACACATAAAATTTGTGAGATAAAAAATGGGACATATGTGTAAGGGTGTATAAGAGACCACACTCTTGCATTGGAGATGCTCTCAGAACTGGATCGGATCCACCCCAAATCATCCTCATGTGACATAATAGTAATACATATGGGTAGGGATGGACTGGGCCGGGCCGAACCGGCCCGGAACCGGACCGGCCCGCTACTGTGCGGGCCCGGACCGGACCGGGCCCGGTTGGCCGGTTCCGGGCTTTTAGCCCGTGTTGGCGGGTCGGGCGGGCCGGTTCCGGGCCCTATTTTTGTTGAACCGGCCCGGGCGGTTCGGGCCGGGCCCGGTTCATTTTTTTTTTTTTTTTTGGTTTTTTCAATTTTTTTTCTTTTCCTAGGGTAGGGCTGGGTGTTTTAGGGAGGTTTGGGGCATGGGGGTGAGGGGGGGGGTAGGGAGATAACAAGAAAGTAAAAAAAAAAAAAAACATTGAACCGGGCCCGGCCCGGCCCGGCCCGGTTAGGCCCGGACCCGGTATCAACCCGGGCCGGTTCCGGGCCCATGTAACCCGAAAAAAAGCCCGCCCGGGCCCGGCCCGGAACCGGAACCGGCCCGGCCCGGGTCCATCCCTACATATGGGTGAGATTATATCCATTATCTCAAAGAAATAATCTCATTTGATACTCCGTATCATTTAGTTATGTCCATTTAGAAATAATATCTTATTCATAAAAAACAGTCCGGGCAATAACTATCATTAACAAAAGCAAAACACAGTAGATTGGCCAAGTTATTTTCTCAATAGACTAACGTATAATTACTTAGTTCAGTTAGTTGATGGCGGTTACTTTACAGACAACAATGACGGGGTATTATTAAAGGATGGGTTCATTCAATCATTCATATAACTATATACTCAGGGGCGGACCGTAGTATAGACTCAAGGAGGCTACCGCCCCTCCAACAACAAATTTTTAGTGTATATATATACGAAAAATAATTTTCAACCCCTAGAGAATTTTTTTGTTTGAACTACCGCCCTCCCAAGATGAATTTCCTGGGTCCGCCCCTGTATATACTCCGTATATATATATATAAGTTGTATGCGTGTTTGTGTACGCACCAAAAAGTAATAAATGATTAAATGGATTAAGAAATGTAAAAACACATCGTCACTTAACAATCTGTGAAATAGATCTAAAGACTTGCGATAGTGTGGATGGAGTCATGGAGGCTTCATAAAATTGTATGGAGGTGTACTGCCGTACTATTATTACAAGGGCAAATTAGATATTCAAAATAAATTTATTTCTTAATATTTAATTTGAAGGCCGTAATTAGTAATTTGGAGACCCGTGCATAGAATTTCCCTTTAAATTAAAAAATTAAAGTAGCTGGTCTGGGCCTATTTGGATGTTGGAACCAGACCCAAACATTCCCAATAACCAGATTACCAGAACCACTGGTCGGCCCAGTTTTCTGTATAAAAACTGTCTCAGTTCATGTCTGGATCGGACTCCATCAAAATTTTATTTAGTAGGGATAGTAACAAATTAAATTTGCACTAATAATATAATAAAAAAGTTTTTTTTTGGTGTGGTGTCATATGCAGGACTGGATGTCAGCATTAATTTACACAAGGTTATGTAGTAACTACTCCGTATAAATTAATTCCAGACGGATGTTAGCAAACAAGTTTCACACAAGAGTACAAGACTGCTCAATCAGCCTCCCCCAGTCCATCACTACCATCACCTCTCTTTGATATTGCGGCCATCATATTATGCGATTTAGGCGTTTTCTTTTGTGATGATGCAATTTCAGCATTTTTCCGCAATACCGCTCCAGGCGATGGGTACGGTCGCTGTTGAAAGAGCGGACCCTGAAATCATTAATTCACAAAAAAAAAAAAAAAAAATTAGCACTCGGTTTAATGTTCATATTAAAAAAGCGAAATCATTCATGCCATGCGAATTGCATATGAAAAATAGTACATGCAAAACTTGTAGACAATCCATCAGAGGATGTAACAAGAATGCAACGTGTCAAGAGCTACAGAGCAATGTCACCATTAACATTTGATTGCACAGTATAAAAGTAATGGACATTTTAATAGCCTGAAAGCCTCATACCTTATTAACAACAAGGTCCAAGCCTTAGTCTCAAAAGCCTTATAACTTACTCTCTTTTTTAAGTTTTAACACACTTATAATAAAAATGCATATGATATATCTAAATCCTAACAGTTTTGGTTCAATTTTAGTCTATTAGCATTGTTCATGATACATCAACACCTTATAAAAATTTACTATCATCATTATTCATGTTTTGTTTTCCATTTTTCAGATGAGCTCTCAACCTATTAGTCAATTTAAGTTTGTATGCATGAAGAGCATTTATAATTTAGCATTATTTTAAGGGAAAATGGAAACTAATAATCCAACTTTTTAGCGGTTTTCTTACAATAGTCCCACCTTTTCGTTATTCAAGAATAATCCAACCTTTGCACCCCATATTCATTGGATGGTCCCTAACCGGTTAATGACTTGCTATTCCAAGTCATTTTCTTATCTTTGAAAAATATTATCTTTGTGAAAGGTGAGATTTATGGTATAATGGTTTGCAAAGATAAGAAAATAACTTGGAATAGCAGGTCATCAACCGGTCAGGGACCAGTGAATGAAGATGAGGTGCAAAGGTTGGATTATTCATGAATAACGAAAAGGTGGAACTATGTAAGAAGACCGCTAAAAGGTTGGATTATTACTTTCCATTTTCCTATTTTAATGACTGTGTTTTGCGTAAATGAAATGACAAACTCTACTCACAGTGGCAGTTGTGTCGGCTGCCCGTGGTTGCACTCCTTTTAGTCCTACAACCCTGCATGCATATTATAAAAGGGAAGTGCGGATTTGGTTAGCCATCATATATTCAGATTTACAAAATAGCCTTGACGGTAAAACTTCATACTTACCAACCACCCCTGGGGGCATCTGAGTAAGAGCTTGGATCCATAGGATCCAAGTCTTCATCCTCAGAGTGTGTACGCTTGCGGTTGTCTCGCCGATCACCTTTTCCTGTGGGTGGTTTGAAACTAGACCTGCACACCCCAATTGTCCAGTCAAGCTCACCGACATCCACAGTAACAAGAAAAGTTTGAACAATTCAACCTATTAACTTTCAACTTTGCTACTTGTATCCACCCCCTTATACCCACCCCTGTGAGAGGCTATTTTTGGTCAATGAATCCCGTTCACAGACAAAACAGACATAACTTTAGGAATGCGCAGCATGCATTCGTAAACCTCCCTCCATCCCCCTATGTTTGGGACGGAAGGGAGTGGCACGCATATTAAGACACTTCATAAAGCAATAGATAATGGGTCTGCAAGCAATACTGTTTAGTTACTTTTTGAAAAGGCAACATCAATAATACGGAGGTCCTGTCCCACAGTTTTGGAAAAATATCAGAATCTTAAAACACTTGGACCCCACCATTCTGAAACCATTTCACAAAATGAAAAGCTGAAATAACCAAGCACTCGTATAAAGCTGAAGTAACCAACATCTGATGAAGAATCAACATATGAGTTCACTTCAGGGTCTTCCGTCTCAGGCACGAAATCAACCAGATCTTCACTATCTTCAACAACCTGATCTTCACTGTCTTCAACGATTAGGCCTTCCAAGTCACGAAACGGTTTAGAAGAATCCGAACTCATTTTTTGCGAAGGTTGTACAGAAGGGTTACGCTGATTATGCAGAGTTAAGAGGTTGGAACAATTAGGCTGGGTGTGGAACGATTATCTGCGACGTTGGTTTGGGGAAGGTATACGCAGATGGAGAGAGAGTCGGTGGGGGTAAGCGGCGGGTCCTGATGGAAGAGGCTGAGATGGGTTTGTCAGAAAACAAGTCAGAAAAGGAAAATAAAGGAGTAATTTGATATTTAAAATAGGGGCATTTTTGACATCAGATTTACTTTATACTTTCCAAAAACAGTATGGGACAAACATAGAGGGACACCCCAAAATGGTAAAATGGGACAAACATAGGGGGACGGAGGGAGTACATACTTTACAAGTTCTACATCAGAATCTAAACCTCTTGGGGACAAAGGTGGGTTGAACCGTTGAAGTTGCACTAAACAGCCACTACCGTAGTACTACCTCCGTCCCTTAAAACTTTGCCAAAGTTGACTGGCACGGAGAATAATAAAGTAAAAACTGTGTGGTTGAGGTTTGTGCAGAGGAGAGAGAAATAACAGAAACCACAAAATAATTGATTAAAATGGAAAGTGGCAAAGTTTTTTGGGACGTCCCAAAAGGGAAAGATGGCAAAGTTTTAAGGGACGGAGGGAGTAGGTCGTAAGCCCTCATTTTCCGCCCATGAGGCTCTTTCCCCAATAACCTTTAACCTTTTCTGAACGCCTTGCCTCAAGGCACAAACACCAATAGTTTTCTTAAACCTTGGTCATAAGCAGCGATGTGGTGCCACACTGCCACCTTGGCACCAAAGCGGAATGGTGACGCAGATTTGTTTTTCAGATGATATAAAGTTTGTGAAGAAAGGAAGTTTATGAAGTATGGCCATCTACTTAATAACATTGGTTGTGAGGTGAAGTAGATATCAGGGTAGAATTCACCCTTGAGTGTCTTTATTCTTCACCCCCACCTTTTTTTGGGGGAGTGCTTTCCTGATACACGCAGTCAAATATAGTACTTTTAATATGGTAGTCTTGGAATGGAAGGTATTATCGTAAAATGGTCTTTCTCTAATTACAACTTAGTAGGACAACCATTTCTAAGACAACTCCCTTATATTGGAACTAGAGGGGAAAAGAAATGAAAGAAACTTGCACATGTTGCAATACTAAAAGCCCAAAGAGAGGCAAAGAAATGAAGGGAACTTGCACATATTATGATAAAAGCCCAAAGAGGACTGGCATACCTCTGCTTCTGAAATTTCTTCTCAGAATCTTCCTTTGGGCCTGAAGCATTTGTGTGCTGTTTGCTTTCAGCATTTTCCAACAGATACTGACTCTGGGGAAGGTTAAGAACTCTGCATGTGAACAATATCAACTAAATAATGAAACTGCACTGACCCATTGAAAATTTGAGGTTTGATCTAGCATAGGCAGCAGTCAGGCGCATGCATGTATACACAATGTTTATAAAAATTAAAAATGTGAATTTTCTAGGCTGTGTTTTATGTCAAGCCACTGAGGGAGTCTAACTAATAACATCATTGATAAAGAACTATTTTCATGCAACACTAAGCACACACACACGTGTATTCAAACTAGTTAATTGAGTCGCATGACACTTGTTTAGCAAGCATGCATTAGCATTACTTGATATTATCAGGTATAAAGAAACGCAAATGAATGAAGATTGATACTTATCACATTAGTTCCTTAAGCTGCTTGATACCATTGTTCAAAAGAAAAAGGCAACACATGCAAATGGCAAATATTGAGGTGCCACTTGCCAGTCATGATAAATTTCCATTATAATTAAATGTTATAGTTTAATATATTGTTTAATGTTGGATAAATATGCCTCGGTGGTGACGTTAACAAGCGCCCACCAATTAGATAGCAGATGCGATATTTAGAAAATCCAGAAGAATAAGAATGGATGGATGGTAAAAATATCCCTACATATTCTAACAAATGACTTTCAATTAGCAGTAAATTCTTACATTTTATAGCATAGTAAAATCTCATCAAGAGATTTTCCAGGTCAATTCAAACATTACTTATCAGAATGGCATGGAATGATGCAAACACATTCACTTGATAAAAAGAATTCTATTAAGTACTACCTCCATTCCAATTTGATGGTACCACTTCTTATTCAACACAAATAAACAAAAATCACTCTTAATCTCTTGCTTTTTATCAAATTTGATTCTGGTTTTTGCGACTTTGTAAAGCTTTTAAGGTAGTTTCTGAATATGTAATTTTTTTTCTAAAAATAATTTTGAGTGCGCACAGGGATCCGTTTGTTTTATTGTCGGTCAAGCATTGTAAACCGCAATGGTATCATCAAATTGGGACGGGAATCATGTCAATTGTTAGTCGGACATTGTTATTTCATGTGTCAATTGTTAAGTTCATAGTTCAACCAGTTAGGGGGGGAATTTGTTGTCGCGTGTCATCAAAAAAACTTGGAAAAAACTAAAAAAGTGATAGAAACCTCACAATTGCAGTAGAAATCAAGTAATATATTGATCCAACCTCAGATTAGAGAACAGAAATAACGAAGAAGAACAGATTTGAGACACTTCGAGCAGTCTCCCTCTCCCAAGTCCCAATCTAATCCCAATTTCTGCCTGTCTTTCTACTCACAACTCACCCTATTTATTCTTTTCTAATGGGCCAGCCCACTTCTCTTAGTTATAGGGCCTAAACCCCCATTATTGAAAAATAATAAAAGACTTATAAGTATTCTTATTCTAATATTATTTTAGGTCTCTATCATCACTCCCCCTTTGACAACCACCTTGTCCTCAAGGTGGGGAATAAGAACAGACATGCCTTCCAGCTTCATTATCGTGCCCCTTCCTTCCCAATACCTCACAGATAGCTGGAACAAGAGCTTCAACAATTGAACCTTCATCATGATCCCTTCCTCAGTCCTGTACTTCTTTAAGAGTTTCACAGCCTTTTCATATGTCTTGTTGTTTAGAATTTGACGGAGAAGACTTTCATCTTGCATTTTGTGTGTCCATAGGCTCTCAGGCATAACAGAATATAAGGCAGAAATAGTCGGATGAGTTTTAGTCCTAAAAGGATCACATAGACAATCAGTCAACCTCTGTAATAATACCTTAACCAGATTCTCTTCAGAAAGAGGTAAGCTGCTTCTTTGGAGAACATAATGATTGTTCTCTTGCTCAGGTTTCCCGGTAGACCAACAAATGTTCTCATAAAATTGCAACTCTCTGGGATTTGTCAGTATGAAAAAGGAATTGAGTTCACTGCTTTTCATATCACAAACAATAATAATTCCAAGTGATCCAAAAAGTTTAAAGTTTACTGACTCTACTTTATCAATGCCTTTCAATTTTGCAAGCCCAGATGACCCCGAATTGATAGGCACAAGCAATCTCATGAGTGGTGCATAACATGCTGCTGTTTCGACTGTGGATAGCAAACTGGCATAAGGAAACTCTGGAAGATACTCTTTTCCCTTTGCCAACTGCTGTAAACATTTTTTATGCATTTCAGAATCACTAAAAGGCTGCCTTCCAACTACAGAAGAACTTGTTGCAGGTTGCAAGTTTATTACTAGCAATTTAGTAGGTGAAAATCCATGCACATAGCTTATAAGTTTTCGTGCTGCTTCCTCCACAAAGGCTCTTCTCCACTTGGTAACCAAGCCCAAGCCCCTGATGTAGTCCCATCTTACTGCGTTAAGAGCCATAACTGGGCAGTACATCATACAAACACTATCATCTTTAGTCAAACAGTTGGAAGAACTTTCTAGTAAGGCAGGCATAGAAACTGGATTTCCAGCATAAGCCATCCACCTAAAGCCAACATCAAGAGGTCCAAGGCCCAGGTTTGCAGTTCCCGAACAGCCCCTAGCAACAGGGTTTGTGACAAAATTACAACCCCTTTCCAAATCTGCTTCATTACCACAGTGTATCTGAGCCGCTGGTAGGGCAGTAACCACTCTAGAGCTGCACCTCACAGGATGAGCAACTGATTTGAACTTCACCTGATGTACAAAAGAGTGAAATCTCAAGTAATGGAACCCTCCCATAGTTAGAACTTCAGCACAGATTATCAACAATGGCCAACTATTAGGAATTTCATGCATACTTTGCTTTGACAAAATTGGATTGGGTGAGCTTTTCATGAATGAAATAATTCCATCCTGCTTGGAAACTAAATTTAGAAAACCACCAGATTTTTCCACATTCCAAACATGGAAACCATACTGACAGCATAAGAGCAAGACTTGGCGGTTTGTACCTCCCTCAACATTACTAGCAAGTGTCCTTCCTTTCAATCCTTCCACCCCATACTGAGGTTTGTACCTACATCCTCCTTTTTCCTTCCATCCCCTCTTGTCTTCATCTCTGTATTTTCCTCTTCTTATCAAAGTTCTAATAACTCGTGTAGGATCCTGCGGAACTTCAGCCACCACATACTCCGCATTTTCTCCAGTTTTGCTAAATTCATCTATACGGACAGTCCCTGTAGAGCTTCCCAAAGTACTTGGACCAGCAATTTTATGAATGGCAGATTCATATTCCATAGCAATCGAGGAGTGAGTCATCACAGAAACCTTCTTTTCTTCATCAGTGTGCAATTCCAATCGTGGCATACTGGCAATCAACTCCTTAGAACTTTCACCATTAGGAGCTCCGAGAACAACTTGCCCTGCTTTCAACAACACGATTCCTGTCCCCACTAGCAAAAGTTGTGACTGATCCATTATGGGATTGGGCCCGGTTGTAGATACAAACACATCAGGCCCATAATTTATCACAGCCCTGTCTGATTTCCACTCAAGTGCTTGAATCCTCCTTTCTATTTTATCTGTGATTTTTACCTGATCCTCCAGTTGCATTGGCAATTGCTCTTTCGCTTTTACCGGACTAGTTCCGTTTTTATCCTTCTCAGGCTGTTTGGAATTTTCTGGATAATTTGGCAGATATCCTGTATTTTGCGTCATATCATCATCCAGACCTGGTTCCTTGAGTGATGGTTCAGCCGGCCTTAATTTCATTGTGGGCGATGAAACTTGAGCACTGTGAGAAGAAGTGTGCGATGACACCTGCAAACTGGTCGTTGAGGACAGGTGAGGAGCGGCTAGTGACGGCAAAGAGACCGTTTGCGAATGCGAACTGGGAGATAAGGTTCGCGAGTTCAAACTGGGAGAGTCGGTCAGCGAGTGCGAACAAGGAGAATCAGTTCGCCTCTGTGAACTGGGCGAAGCTGCTTGCGATGAAGTCTGCAAACTGGCACTGTGCGATGCGGCTTGAGACGGAGAATAAACCTGCGAACTGCGATAGCCTGCTGTGAATTTCGAACTGGGATAAACTGATGGCGACAGCGACGGAGCAAGTTGTGGAGCTTGCGAACTAAGGCAAATCTGCTTTTGTGAAGCTGGTTGCGACAACGACGATACCTGATAATAAATTGGCCGGCGGTGTCTAGGAGGGCTTCTAGCTCGGTCTCGATGTCGCTTAAGTCTGACGAATTTTTCCCAAAATATGACGCATCTCCTTAGCCCAATCACTTTCAACCTTTTCCGACAGCTTCTCCTCTTTTCCGCGCGAAGCACACTGACCGTATCTTCGATGTTGTTCCTTTCCCATTTCCGCAGACACGCGCATCTCGCGCTTCTCCATGCCCGCGCGCAAAGCAAAGGCGGCCACCTTCCTCTCTGACCGTTGGTGTTCCCTGCGCTCCATTTTTTTATCGTGTGACTGTTGATCGAAGCTTCCCTGGGTCGACGGCTCTGATACCAATGATAGAAACCTCACAATTGCAGTAGAAATCAAGTAATATATTGATCCAACCTCAGATTAGAGAACAGAAATAACGAAGAAGAACAGATTTGAGACACTTCGAGCAGTCTCCCTCTCCCAAGTCCCAATCTAATCCCAATTTCTGCCTGTCTTTCTACTCACAACTCACCCTATTTATTCTTTTCTAATGGGCCAGCCCACTTCTCTTAGTTATAGGGCCTAAACCCCCATTATTGAAAAATAATAAAAGACTTATAAGTATTCTTATTCTAATATTATTTTAGGTCTCTATCAAAAAGGAAAAGAAAAAAATTGCCGAACTTGTTTTAAATAACAGGCAGCAAATGATAAAAAATATGGCAATACCTGGTGCAGTGTCTGCAGTACCCCCATGATTGCACAAGGGACACGCCCCATCCACCACATCCCTTGCACTTTGGCAATATGGATGACTGTTGCCCCATATTTGTAGTTGTATTTGCATCATGCAACTGTAGGGCAGTCTGCTTGAAGGTAAAGGGGTTCTCCCATTGAGATACATTGGTCAAGGTGTTATAGTAATACTTTTGACCTGTACAACAAATTTCAAGAATTATGGGTGAGGAAGAGAGGGAACACTGTGCAGCGGTAGGTACAATTTCCCATCTAACAAACTCTTCACACAGTTCTTTGGTGTTCAAGAAAACATATATCAAAATTGGTGGGCAAAAAGCAAATACTTGACGGTTAGCTAATCATCTGAGAAGAATATGTCTAGATAAAATTTCATGATTTATGACTATTTATTTATACACTAGAGGGTGCAGAATGGGAGTGACCCTAAACCAAAAACAAATTTTGAGGGAAAGACTTTATCATGGTTTAGTTTAAAACTGCATGACAAATTATCAAGAGCACTAGCATCAAATCAAGTAGGGGTAATGCTCCACAGAAGGTGATAAGTTCTGTGTTGACAGTTAAAACGAATAAAATAAGTTTTCACACTGTTAAGAGCACTACCTCCTTGAACAGTTTTCTTTTTCTTGATATCATGCAAAAACTCCAATAACAGAATGGTACCATAAACTCAAAGGATTGTCACAACATCCAAATTTCAAATATCAACCCAAGACTATTGCAGCAACCCAAATGGTGTTACCCCCACTCCATCCAAATTTCAACTCCAAATAGTCACGTCACTTTTCTACATTTCCATGCAATCATAATTATCATGCGACAGCATTGGTAATTGGTAATCATGACTTACCTGTTGTTTCATCAACAAGCTCTTGCCAATTTTCAGGAATCTGTGGAGGTATAGGCTTTTCCCACTGACTTTTTCCTGTATTTGCATCATAATAGTACGCCACACCACTTGCAGGATCATGGGCTTCAATCTGCATGAGCATTTGATGAATACTATTTTCAATATAATGACACTGAATTTGGCCTAAATCCTCTACTAGGCTGCCGTGTTTTATACAAAATCCAAAGCTGATGCAAATTGCAATATATTGTTTGGCAGAAAATGTCGATAGAATTTGCTTAGCCAAAGCTTTCTTGACCTATTTAAATCTAGGTTCCAGATAGTGAGTAATAGACATTCTGGAATCTGGACACATAATTCTACGTAACCAGCATTTTCACTTTCCACACTTATAAACTTTAAAGTTAACTGTATTTCTCAATTCTCATTGCCAACTTTTAACCATACTACATCTAAGTTTTCACACATAAGCTTAAAAGTTACTTGACTCTTATTGTCAACTTTTAACCATAGTACAAGTTTTACTACTACTGTAAGCATGACTTGGATAGGTGGACGCTGGACGGTCCTTGCAACAAAAATGAAAAAAATGCCCACATAATAAGAGCACCTAATTACTTACCCACCCTGGAGGCAATTCTGAAAGCAGCATCTTCTGAGATGGCAACATGTCTGATCTCTGGATTGAATAATTTTAGAACAGTGAATATAGGTAATTAGGTATATGTTTCAAGCAAAAAGTTAAAAACAAAACATATTGCCGAAACACAGATCCTGAATCCCCAATGGAAGTAACAGATTTATATATGTGCCAGAGGAGAAGATATTAGCGTACATTGGAAGGCGGGGTATAATCCATGGTTGGATCGCCCTTCAGAATACCCCTAGCTCTCAATTTCTTTTTGAGAAATTCAGGCAACTCTTTAGTTGCAGAATTACATCCAGAACCCCCGCTGCACTCTGGGTTGGACTCATTTGTTGAATGGCCAAGGACAGGATCTGCTTGAAAATCAGAAAAGATCAAATTAGAACAATTTCGAGAAGGCACATCAACAAAATAGCAATGAAGCAGTCTTACTGGAGGTAATGATGCTCGTCTTCAGAGAACCATAATAAGCACCACCACCAGGAACACCATACCCATTCCCAATTTCCATATTGCCTGGAAATAAGAAATATCATTTTTTTTACAAATTATGCCGTATGACAGTCTTACCACATCCTAAAATAATTGTCAGATTTAGAATACAGTTCAGATGCACATTAATTGAAGATAATTGAAGGCTCTCACTCTCCTAATGCTGAAACTCCCTACATTTAAGTAAAGACTGCAATCGACTTTCTCTCTCTCCGTTAGATACATATAACAGTTAAGTTGCTATTCTGAAACAACCGTCCCAAGATTCCCACATGCTTAACTTTCTTAAAGGTTTGAGATGGACTCTCACAAAAAAAGTTTGAGATGGAAGCATAATTCAAAGCTACTTTCTTTGTCCCCTTACCTTTGTCCCATTTTACCTTTTTTGTCTGTCTCATTAAGTTTGTCATATACCACATTTGGTAATATTTGGGTGGTCGCCATTCATTCTTACTTTTTCACACTTTACCAATTTAATATCAACCACACAATTCCACTTTTCTTAATAACCACACCATTCCCTCTTGAGCTTTTAAAGTGAAATATTTTCTCTTGCACTTCTATAGAATCTGGCTCATAATGTGGGGCTAGATCCAAGTGGGAATGATGTTCTGTAAAACTACTAAAGAATCTAAATCACACAAAATACATGAAGTAACTATAAAGTCATGTGTCACAATATCAAGGGTTATGAATGCACAGTGCACTAACAAGAGAAGTCCCTCCTAGAACACCACAATATTAGTTTCCAACAAATAGCCACAACTACTATAGCCTCATATAGTATATGTTAACGCCAGTCAATTTCATCTTTTTCATATGTATTTCAGATCAATGCCAATATTGCTGTTCACATTGCTAAAGCTATTAGTCTATTACTATCACCAGTGGCATATTCAGGTTTTTTGCTGGGGGCGAAAGGTATATCTTGATTGATATAACTTTCCCTTTTTAGGAACAAATACTAACGAGGCAATTTTTAGTTTATTAAAAATATGCCCATATATAAAATGAATCATAAGAGCGGATGAATTATGTAATTATAACTAACTTAAGCTGAAAATGTATGTATGTATAAAAGGGGATCAATTTATATTATGTGTATGTAAAGATGTAATTACAAATATTCTATAAATTATTTGTTAGATTAAAGTTCTAAATTTTTAAAACTCAAAACTAGTTTGAATCTATGAAATCGAGATAATATTAAACATAACTATAGAAGTTTGTTTTAAATCGGTTTAAAGCTTTAAAAAGGCTAAGAAATAACTAATGCTCCAAAAGTATTAGGATGGATTTGAACCCTCGTCTATTTGGAAAAAACATGAGATATGTTCAACCACACTACAAAAAATTATACTGACACTAACTTCATTAAGACATTAATTAATGCAAGCCTAAGTGAACCTATACATAAATATTATATACTCCCTCCGTCCCGCTAAGATTGTCCCATTTTACCTTTTCGGGCAGTCCCACTAAGATTGTCCCATACCAAATTTGGTAAAGATTGTGTGGCTCTAAACCATTCTTACTTTATCAATTTAATATCAACCACACAAACTCACTTTTCTTAATAATCGTGCCACCTTCTCTCGTTCCAATCTTAGTGGGACGGAGGTAGTGTATATATATATATAGAGTACTCTTCTGGTCAGGAATTCTTGATAGGAACCGCGGTCCAGATGGCGGATTTTGGGGCCCTTCCCGGAAGAATTTTTTAATGAAATTTTTATGGCATGTTCTCCATCAAGCCTAGTTAATCTAAAAAAACATTCAGCTAAAAATTCAATCGGGAAGGTCGTCAAATGATTTTTAGAAGATAACTGTGCCCAATATATACATATAAAACGCAGTTATCTTCCAAAAATCATTTGACAGCCTTCCCAATTGAATTTTTAGCTGAATATTTTTGTGGATAAACTAGACTTGACGTAGAACATGGCATAAAAATTTCATCAAAACATTCTACCGGGAAGGCGGCCAAACGCCGCCATCCGGACGGCGGTTCCGGTCAGGAAGGCCGGACATGAACTTTTCTGTGTGTGTGTGTGTAGGGTTGGGTGGGGGCAGCTCCCCCTCCCCCCGGGACACACCACTGACTGCAACATTCCTATGTAAGTATGTATTGCATTAGAAGATCAGCCCTGGCCCTCCAAGATAGTTTGTATTAAAAAAAAAGGATAATTAATCCTTCCCAGGAAGTGAAAAGCGACAACACTTTCAGAACCAACTTTGTCAACCTAATCAAGATATGATTAACTTTTCTAGATGAGCAACTTAGAAGAACAAATTAAATGTTTTTTTTTCATTTACCCAGTGCCGCAAAGACTCCCACCTACAGTGGGGTAAGGGGGGTCGGATGTACGCAATCTTACCCCTGTACAAAAGCACAAAGAGACTGTTTCCAGATGACCCATAGTGAAAATCGCGTCCAAAATTGCATGGACTGACTGCTGCTTCATAACAAAGAAGTGACAGTTTAGTGAGCCATTTTGCTTTATTCCATCATATTCTCAAGCCAAAAAATAATAAATCTTTGGCTCCATTGAAAATGATGGAAATAAGAACAAATTAAATGTAATGCATTCATTTCCTATTTACCCTCCTAGTCTCTACGTTAATACTCCCTCCGTCCCAATATAAAAGGCACATTTGCGTTTGGGGACTTTTTAAGGGTGAACACTGTTTGAACACTGTTTGGCACTGTTTAGACACTGTTTGGCACTGTTTGGACACTGTTTGGCACTGTTTGGCACTGTTTGACACTGTTTTGTTTGCCAAAAAGGGAAATGTGCCTTTTATATTGGGACGGACCGAAAAGGAAAGTGTGCCTTTTATATTGGGACAGAGGGAGTAGTAAACATTATCTAAGAGGCCATGATTGATTCTCAATGGATGTTTCTTAAAACACTATCCAATAAAAACAAAATCAGGTTTCCCACTTTGTTTGATCTACTAGCACCGTGAGCTAATGATCATACCAATAGTATTCCCTTCTTCAATTTAGAATACAAACAATTTCAGGTTAAATAGAAGAAACCTCTAAACTAACCTTCTTTGTTTGACACAGGCCTTCCATGCTTCAAGGCCATTTCAGTACGATGCTCTGCAGTAATTTTCAGTAAATGCTCCTATGGAGCACACAAGAGTAAGCAAATCCAATTTGCCAGTCAAACAATGTAAATATTTACCTTTAAACATGGCAAATGAAAAAACAGACAAGATGACAACCTTTAAAGTATTGGGGTCTTGACTGCCAGAGAAAAGGTCTGTGTTATCCCTGTGCTCACCAATAGATCTCGCTTCTCTGGTAGAGATATAAATTTAAGAAAGTATTAATCATGTGGTTTATGTACAAATAAATAAATAGTTTCATCCAATGCTAACCTTTGATTTTGTATGACTTTTTGGGTGGCAATTTCCTGACAAGCATACAACAAACAACAACATTACCCCAATGTCGCAAAGGTTCCCACCTACGGTGGGGTAAAGGGAGGTCGGATGTACGCATCCTTACCCCTAAACTATGACTAAACTAACAAAAAAGAGGAAGCTATACCTGTTCACGCATAACAGCACTTTGAACAGAATTATCAATGTCATTGGTGTTTTCTGGGTGCAGTGGAGAGCCACCGGAATACATTAAGGAAGGAACCGGAACAGATTGAGAGCTATTTGGCATTTGGGATACCACATTCATAGCATGTGTATGATGAATTTGACATGAACTTGTGGAATGTGGTTTCAAGCTTTCAGGAGGTGAAAACCCAATTCCATTAGGAGTGATAGGAAAAAGACTTCCCTCATGAGAGTGAGAAGGGTTTTTAATATTATCATTATTCAGAACAGGTGGAGTTGAATGTGCAGTTTCTGGCAGGAGGTGTGAAGAAAATGAAACACGTTGGACTCCAGGAGGAAGCGGTTGATCAGAATGATGATCCATAAGCTTATACTGGCACCAGGTGCATGCTTAAATCTCTTACTTCTATCGAGAAAGAACTGAAACCTGGAAAAAGTGTCCCAGTCAACCAAAAAGCATCAAGATAATTTCAGGTAAAAATTATCATAAAAATAATTTGGAATGTAGAAACTTCTAACAAGGATGCTCTTTTCATAGTGAAACAGGATAATTGACTCCACGTCATTATTGATAAATGTTGAAGCCTAGTTATGCATCATGCATAGTTTTTTATTTGAGAGGTAGTCCAGTAAGCCTAATTTATAAATATGGATTTGGCATCCGAGGCAAACTTGTGCAATATTGGGGCCTCAAGATTATCATTGCAAATAAATTTTGACCATGCTTTAACTGAGAAAGTGTGCATGACATGTGATGTGATTCCTTCAACGGTAACAATGATATGGTAGACTAAAGTTAACTTACATAGATCACATAAAATTCTAATAGACTATGATGCTAATGATAATTATAGGGTAAAGACTGCATGCCCATGAATGCCATGATCACTGTAAGTCTGTATGTTTGATTGTTTGTTTGTGTTCATAAAGCAACCATGTATACTGAAAACAGATGTGCATCAAAGCAATAAAAAAGTGACATTGCATACTGAAAAATACAAATTCTGTATTATGAATAAAGATGCTTTGTAGCATTAAAACAATACCAACCAGGCTACTACCATGCATGAACACAAGCTATCATTAGTTAATCATGATTCAGCAAGCAATTAAGGCTATGTTTAGAAAATGAGCTAAAGCTGAAGGCTAATTTGGATTAGGGGCAATTGTCCGGACTGAGGGGTATTGTCTACAGGCTACAGCTAATACTAACTCAATGAAGTAGTCCAGATAGGAAGAAAGTGAATAAATTCTACAAACATGTTGACTTACGCTAAAATGCATTGTTTGAATGTGCAGTAGATTTTTGAATAAATTATGTAAGGAAAATTTGGTACAAATCTACAATGAATGGGCTATAGAACATTAGTTTACCACTTCAACTAAAGTTTTGTTCAACTACAGGCTACAGCATACATCAGCCCTAAATACAAACATTGACTAAAGCGCGATGTAGAGCTTTTAGGTCCACAATGGGCAGATCATGATTTCCAAACATACGGTAAAATGAATAAAGACATCTAACAAGTTTCAATTACCACTGCACCACCTCTAATACTCGATTATCTTTTGAAACTATGATTCATGTTGCACTTTGATTCTATATCACTTTCATCACCACAAAACAACACAATCTTTTAGGGGGAAAACAATGCACTTGTTTCACAGGGAACTGGCTAATATACTTGACTACCACTAATTACATTAAAAATGAAATAACTTGAGCTAATCCTGTGAGCTCCTACGGTTGCACTACCAGTAATCTAGACAAGAACATGAGCCTAACTCAAAACAGTGGAAGCGATTTCGGTCTCTGACAACAATTTTCCGATCATATGCTTTTGAAGCAACCTTCATAGCAGAATGACAATCTACACATATTCTTAGATTTTTGAAAATGTAGAGAGGCATTCCTGCCCTCGTGCTAATAAGCCCAAAAGAAAGTGCTAGCTTTTCGCTGTGGAAGAACAATGTGTGCTCCTTTTCCTCCCACTCATTAACACATTCCTCTCCAAGAGGTAATTGGCAGGCAACATCAGGTATATAACCATCCAATTTTAACCTCTGAATCATCTCATCCAGCATCATGTATATCTCATGAATCTGATGATGTGATTTATCACCTGCACTAAACTGATGAATTCGACCACCAACATATATAGAGCTAACACCAGGTACTTTCCTAATACCCTTGTGCTTAAGAATACCACGAAGTGAACTGGCCTTATCTCTCTTGCCAGCCAAGATATACATATTTGAAAGCAAAACATGATACTGCACATTATGGGGATACATTTGGACAAGCTCTTTCATCAGGCATTCCCCCATTTCAACATTTTTGTGCACACTGCAAGCCCCTAAAAGTGATCCCAACACAACCTCGTTCGGGGGAATAGGCATCTGTTCAATGACAGATTTTGCTTCTTCTAGATACCCGGCACGAGATAAAAGGTCTACAAAGCAAGAGAAGTGCTCTATAGAGGGGTTTATCCCATAAACAGGTTCAAGATTATAGAAAAAGTGCCTACCTTGATCAACTAGACCTGAGTGACTACAAGCACTTAATACAGCTGTAAAAGTAACATCATCTGGAGTGACCTCTTTAACCATTTGGGCAAACAAATCCACAAGAATGTCTCCCTTCCCTTGCATTGCCAGCCCACTTAGCATAGCATTCCATGTCACCACATTCCTTCGAGGTGTCACTTCGAAAACTTGAAAAGCATCATCAATTCTACCACACTTAGCATACATATCAACCAATGATGTTGATATCATAACATCACATTCACCATTCATCTTTTTCAGATAATATGTGTGCACCCATTTACCAATCAGAACATTCCCTGATTGTGCAGAAGCGGATAACCATGAACAGAGTGTCACAAAGTTTAACTCTAATTTCAAATCAAAGAGCATGATTCTTAAGAGTTTAAAGGCCTCCATTGTAAACCCATTTTCCACATACCCGGCAATCATGATTGTCCAAGCAACCTCATTCCTCTCGGGCATCTGGTCAAAAACTAACCTAGAACTTTCCAAACCTTCCAATCTGATCGCACCAGTCAATAGTACAGTCCAAGAAACAACACTCCTTTCATTACACTCTTCAAAAACTCTTCTTGTTTCATTGATTAATCCACATTTCACATAAACATCCATAATCGCATTGCATGCTTTAACACAGAAGCACAACCCTGTTTTTATTAAAAAGGCATGAACTTGAACCCCAAAACCATAATGACCCAACTTCGCACAGCCATTGAATACAGTGACCATTGTGAGTTCATCTACGCAAACAGTTACCCTATGGAGTTCTACAAATAGTCTGAGCGCGTTAAGTGGCAGCCCTGAACGAATATAACTTCCCATCAAGGTCGTCCAATCAACAGTGTCCTTTTGGGATAGGGGGATTTCGTCGAACACCTTGTGGGCGGACTGTGCAAACCCACACGCCGCATACATGTGGAGTACAGCATTCCGGATGAATGCATTAGGTGTATTCAACAATCCTGAGATAATGGCTGCCGCATGAACTTTCTTGCCTACATCTAACGCTACGTATCGAGCGCATGACCTAAGGAGTGTCCTGAAGTAGGGAGCCAGAGTAAAAACTAAAAAGGCAATACTGGTGACTGGTCTATAATCTATGCGGAGTGGCTTGAACTGGACATGCATAAAAACACAGAAAGAAACAACCAGAATCAAAATTTTGATAATAGTGAGAGAAGCTCACCTCAATTTTTTTGAAAGGGCCGCAATTTATGATGGCTAAGATGAAAGTGTATAGCAGACAAGCAGTGCTGGAGCAGAGTAACTGAGACGTCGAAATATTGTTTGGTTAGATGAACAAAAAAATACCAAGTCGCTACTTAGACCGCATAATCAAGGACGGTGGCTGCAATCCGCAGGGCATATAAAGAAGGGAAAATGGAAACTAATAATCCAACCTTTTAGCGGTCTTCTTTCAATAATCCCACCTTTTGATTATTCATGAATAATCCAATCTTTGCACCACATCTTCATTCACTGGTCCCTGGTCGGTTAATGATTTGCAAAGATAAGAAAATAGCTTGGAATAGCAGGTCATCAACCGGTCAGGGACCAGTGAATGAAGATGAGGTGCAAAGGTTGGATTATTCATGAATAACCAAAAGGTTGGATTATTGTAAGAAGACCGCTAAAAGGTTGGATTATTAGTTTCCATTTTCCCTATAAAGAAAACAGAGACGACGCAGAGTAACACGGGAACTGGGCGTTAGATCAGACTCATATGCGCCCTGCAGCCATCAAATTTATAATTTGACTTTTGCACCCACTTTTATTGAACAAATTAGACTTTGCACCTCTTTTTGAAAAATATTAATATTTGCACGCCGCCGTTAAAAAACTGATAAATAGAGTTAGCCTTGCTTTGAAAAGACTGTAATGTCCTTACTAAAACACCCCCTCCGTTAGAAGCCCAATTAATTTCACATGCAAAGCCTTGCACCAGTCTTCGTTCTCAGTAACGCTTGCATGGAGTTGGTTTCTCTGCAATATGGAGACATTGAGCTCTCGTAATGGAGTAGGTCATAAAATGACAGAATTCTTTCTCTCAAAAGAATGGGGGGAGATATTTGTGGACTCCTAAGCACCTGCTCCATCATCAAGGGAAAGGATGGAGAGGATATCTAAGAAATTGACTGGGAAGAGAAAGATTGACTCTTCACCAGATGCAAGTAAGATTTCGATACTTTCTTGTTGTCTTTTATGTGAGAAGAGATCTAATTGGGCATAGTAAACACACAATTTTGAAACAATCATCCATTTCTATTACAGATTGAAACAAATAAAGGGATTGAAGTGATTAGTTAATTTGTGATATTTGTCTATGAAGACTATGTTACTAAATCGAACAATTCGTCAATATTTGAATCAATATGTCATTTCAGTTAGGGCGTCGTTTGAATAGAATAGCATTGTTGAAGAACATATTGATGATGAATTTGGTAATATATGTTGGATTGGCTCCGTTAACGCACTATGCGGATGTACAAACAGTTCCTGATGTATTTGAATATTACAAAGGTAAATTTAAATGCGGTATAGTTAGTTTGTATTTGGTCGTTTAGACTTGTTACAAATAAATCAACTCTAATTAGGGGGTGTTTGGAACTGATTTTGCTTCTAATTCTTTTTTAGAGTAAAAGCAGATTCAGAATCAGTTTTTACAAGTTGGTCTCCCCCAGCTTCTAAAAAATTTATTCTAGGAGTAAATTAGAGTATCCAAAACACTTCTGCACTTTCACCCAAACACTTCAACTTCTGCTTCTGAAGGAGCAGAAGCAGTTTTAAGAATCAGATCCAAACACCCACTTAAACAATTCATGATGAACTATGATCATTGATAAGTGTGAAAACACCTAATACTTTATCATAAAACATGTTCTTTGTTTGTTAACTTTTGAAGATTTTTCTCCCATATTGGATTTACTTGTGCAATTTTTGGTTGCAGGAATCACAGCGAGATTTTGAGCATTGTATGAATGAAAACCGAGCATTTTGAAGAGTCTCATGAGCATAAATGGATGATTTGAAGACATAGGGGACCAAGCAGAGCAAAAGGAAGCAAGAAACGAAGATGTTGGAGGTGTTTTGGTGGAAGCGGCCTTAGGAGCGCCAATGGGAACGACGTCCCTCACGGCGTTCCCCCTATTTGTTCCATCGAATTTCTATTTCATAGTCCCAAGGGTAGGAACGCTGACTAAGAACGACGTTCCTACCAACGTTCCTTCTGGAACGGTGTCCCCTTCGCATTCCTGCCATCGTTGAACTCTCCGTCGGGTAGCAAAAAATTGTGTTAACGCAGGAACACTGGGGGACGTTGTTCTTGCTAGCGCTCCTCTAAAAGGGAAGACGTTCCTTCCCATCGTTCCTATGTTTCCCCCTTTGTATAAATAGCACCCCTTGTTCGGATTTTCATAGTTTTTGGACGAGAATGCACTTGCAAACCCTAGTTTTGATTGTAAGCTTCCTTAAACTCTTTTGTATTGAATTTCTAAGCTTTATTTGCATCAAATACTTGTTCTTCTTGCATTTAATCGCTCAGGTTCCATTATTTCCTTAATCTCATTCCCCTTTTCTTATTGCTTCACTTCGTGACTTTGTGTTGCATATGCCTTATGGGTATGAAATATAGCATGAGTGAGTAATGGGATTAGGGATTAGGGGTGTTTGATGATCATCTAACCATGTGAGGTTATATGTTTTGGGATTTGATTTGGGGAACTTGAGAAAGGTTTTATGCACACAATGTGTTGGTGAAAATGCATCTTTTGATTTCTAAGACTTTGATGGCTACAATGCTCTTAGATGTTGTTTTTTACCTTCGAGGAAACTTGTAAGGTTCTTTTTGACACATTCACACACACATTACCCCCTCTCCATGAGAATGAGAGGAGGTAGGGGAAAATTGTTGGTTGTTCTTCTTTGCTTGACTAATTTAAGGAGTGTTATTGGACCCTGAGAGTGGCCAATAGAAACCCTTAGTACCCCCTTGACCATGGGAGTGGCAAAGGAACATATACATATTCCTTTGTTGCGTGATATGTTTCCAAGTATCTCCATTTTGTCTCCTTATCCTCAATCATAAGTCGGTCCTAGAATGCCCCCGTCCCGTCTAGTTTAATTGTTTAATCTATTGTCATTGCTATTTAGTTATTTTCTTCATCCAAACATACTTCGATTTGGCTAGCTTACGTGTTCGATTACTAGATGATTGCACACTTAATTTCCATATACATCGTCCCGTGAGACGATATCTGGGACTTCCACATCCCAACACCCGGGACATCCACATCCCGACACCCGATGAGCATATATCATTGTGAAAATGACTCGTCAACGAACTATAATATAGCTATAATAAAGCAGTTAGATTTTTAACTCTTACTTGTTTTATAGGTACCCAAATTGAGGAAATTCTTGTTTACGGTACCTATAAAATTATGGATTACAGGTGAGATGCACCTCTTCACTCTTCTTTTTCCCTATATATTACTAGTGCAAATTGGTTACATTTAGCATGTTATTTTCTTGTTTGAAGCGGGCTCTGGCCCGGTCCGGCCAGACAGTTATGGGATTACTTAAATTGAAGTGGGCTCTGGCCCAACTACTTTAAAAGGTGAGAAGAGCAACGCGATGGAAAAGTATAGATAAAAACTTTAAAATGGAAAAAGGGGTGCATGGACCGGGTGATGGAATGTATCTGTTTGAGTGGGTGTTTTAGGTGTATATATCATCTATTACCCTACTCATCACCCAATCAATGACCTCACATGTCACCCATCTAATATTGTATAATTTCTTAATATAATTATACGAGTATAAATTTTCATCTAAAATCACTAAATCTATATTAACTCATTAACTTTGTTAATTTTTATTTCATGTTCTTTTTTTCTGTTTTTATTTTATTTTTTTACTTGGTAGGGAATGAACTTGTGATCCAATAGCAATGCTCAAAGGATATTGGCCTACTGTTGTATCACATTGTTTGAAACTTCATCTGCTCTAGTGTTGTTTTATGTTCTCTTCCATTGCACTGTGTTGCTTTTGTGCTTAGCAATTATGTGCATCTTCTAGCAATTCTAAAATTTTCTAGCTACAATTTTAGTCATTATTGTTTTTTGTTTATTTCACCTTCGAAATTACTTATGTAATTGCTTATTATTATAGGTTTACAAGAAATGAATAGTGTCATTTTCTAACACCTGAACATTTACAACTTATATGCATCTTATTTTCTTAATGGTCTTTAAGTAACAGAACTTTTGCTCCTAATTCCATCCATAGTTTCCAAGCACATTGGCTTCTTTGGTCATTTGTCACTTAGGAATGCAATGATTAATTCTCAAAAGATCCTGGAAGACTACAAATATGTCTGAGAATGGTAATTGGCTCTTCCTGGCTACTGCAGTTTTCTTCCCTTATAATTTGGTTATTGTTTCTTGCCTTTATTCACATTTATTTGAGCTGTTTTCATTAAGACTCACATGAAATGGTATTGTGGAGCAGTTAGATGAATGGTGGGAAAACTAGGATCAGCTCTTGTTGACTTTGTAACTGTTGATTGACAAAATGCAGGTGCGTCTTCATAATGTATCTCTAGTCTAAATTGCTTTCTTTGCTTACTTTGAATATTATGAAGTTTTATTCTTGTTGAAACTCCTGGTAGAATTATAGCTATAAAGTCCTGGTAGAGTTACTAAGAATAACCTCTGGAGTAGAATTACAAAGGGGTGTGTAGAAAATTTCAAGGTATTGAACTCCTGGTAGCTCCAAACTCCTTTAATTTTTAGTATAAATCTAAAAATAGTTGTTTCAAGTATAACTCTAGATTAATCTAAATTGACATTAGTTGATAATATATACGAAGTATATATATATAAACTATATATTATGGAGTTCCATGCATGTTGAGTGATTCTCTTGTTATCCTTACTTTAAGTATCTCCATAGACTTATAAATATCAGTGTGTATTCTAGAAATTATTACTTTCTGAGTTATAGTTTCAAATGTTAGATTCAATGCTTTAGGGAATGAAAATGAAATGCACTTATTTTTAAATACTCTAGAAATTTTATTAGTGTAGAGCAAAGCCAAATAGCAGATTAGCAGCCAATTTTAAAAATAAGTTAATAAGTTGTGAATATTATTTGTGAGAATATGAATTAAAGTAATAATTGTATTATTTTTTAATTTCTTTTGTTTGAATTTTACTTTTTATTATTATCAATTTCTTTGTTATTATGTCAGCAACGCAGAAGAACTGCCGGAAGAAAAAAAATTGTGACATGAGTTTAAAAGTCATCCACGCTTTGATCTCTCTCTCAACAAAAGGTTCAGT